GCTTTGCTTGCCTGTGTTCTCAGACAGTTCCTCAACACCTGTGATTCATGGTGGACGCATGAGGCGTTGGGCCACGCTGCAGAGTGGCTCAAGCTGGACACCTTGACTCCCCCCGCCACCCTCATACCCCACGCTGCACTGTCTGGTTTAACTTCAAGGAAGGCTGGTGCTTTTGATCCCTGAGCCAGTGGGGAGTGTGTCAGGAACCGCGGGCAGCGATGCCAGTTCTGGCCTGACTTCTAAGCCTCCTGGGCTCTTGGAAGGGGCCCAAGCTGTGCCATCTGGGATTTCCCCGGGCACCTTTGGGCAAGGGCTGAGACTGTCCATCGCTGAATTTCTGAAGCTGAGCAGCCCAGGGATGAAAGCCACTCCATCTGCCCCCTGGGGGGACCCAGTGCAGTGGACGAGTTAGATGAACCACAGAGGCAGCGCTGTGCAGCGGCCACCGGCACTGCCGCGAGTCAATCTGGGCTGCTCGGGGACTGGGTGACCTTGTGTGAGTGGTGTCAGCTCTCCAGGCTTGTTCCTCATCCGTCCCCAGGGGATTGTGAGAGCTGAGGTCATGTCCCTAGGGTGCCAGGCACACAGTCGTCAGAGTTACTGCCAAATTCACTACCGTGGTACGTGCTAGCCAAGGCAGGTGGGAGCGCTTCTGGAGAGGAGGCTGAGCCACCACCTTGTGAAGGGTGAGAGGCACATCCGGGGAAGCTTCAAGAAGAGGTGACCTGCGAACGGGGCTCTGAAAGAGTCTGCCTGCTGGAGAGGTGGAGGAAAGGGAAGGCGCAGGCAGAGGGTGTGTTTGGAGAAAGCGAGGAGTTCAGTGAGTGCTAAGGCCAGTGAGTGGCAAGATTGCGAGGATTCACTGAGGCGAGAGTCTAGGAGGCCTTGCGCATCAGGCTCGGGAGGGTGATGGGGAGCCATGGGAGGTTCTTGAGCAGGAGAGAGGCATCAGGAGAGCGTGTTTCAGGCAGATTAGCCTGGCAGTGGCAAAACAGCTCGGAGGCAGGAAAAGCCTCCAGCCTGAGGTTTTGTGTCTCAGCTCTGCTCTTTTCCAGCTGGTGACCTTGGGCCAATCTGTTTCCCTTTTGTGTCTTGGTTTCCTTATTTGTAAATCGGGCTTATAATAGAGCCGTGAGGATTAAATGAGATAACACTTGGAAAATGTTCAAATTGTGTTGGGCACACAGCAAATGCCTGGTTATCCTGTGGGGCTGATTGGCAGGGCAGAGACCAGAGCTGGGGGATATAAAGGGTGCTGGGTCAGGATCCTGGGGAGAGACACTGAAGATGGGCTGAGAGGCCTCAGGGGAGGGAGGAGAGCCATGGGCAGAGACAGGCCGTACTTCGCAGAGGAGAGTGCTGGCCTTGGAGTCCAGCAGGCCTGGTGTGAGTCTCTGCGCCAGTACTTCCTAGCTGCGCAGCCTGGGAGAGGCCCCTGGTTTCTCCGTGTCTCAGCTTTCCTTATCTGTAAAATGGGTCTGCTGACCTCCACTGCTCAGGGCCTTGTTGAGGAGGCAGCAGGGACACCAGACTCCTGAGAGACACTGTTAAGTGCACTTTGAGCCTGAAACTGGCAGGAAGGGCAGAGGGAGCAGAGGATGGGGCTCGAAGGAGAGAGCACACGACAGGAAAAGGGGAAAGGCTAGGGGGATGGGGGATGTTCTCTGGTAATTAGAACGTTTGAACTTCAAAAAAGTTAATTAATGATGAAGCTGCTGCTGGAGCCAGGCTCAGGCTCGAAGGGGGCCCTGGCAGCGACTGAAATTAATTACAGGCTATGGTGGGAGAGTGGCAGTGGGGTGAGGGGACAGGAAGGAGCAGGGCTGGGGCCGGGAGGAGCTGAGGAGAGGCCACGAGAAGGCAGCATCCCAAAGTGGGCAGGGCTGGGGATGGGAGGGAGGCTGTTGCCGTGGAAACCAGGTCACCTCTCCCACTCCTCTCTGGGTGGGGTCCCGCTGAGGGTTTGGCTGCTGGTGTGGCTACATCCCAGTTAAGGGCAAGGGCTTTGAAATGGAGGGGTAAGGGGTTTGCTTGGAGACACTGCCGAGTTCCTGGATGTTGGAGTGGGCAGGGCCCATAGAGATTTACAGCAGCACCCCCGCTTACCCACAGGGGACACATTCCAAGACCCCCAGTGGATGCCCGAAGTCACAAATAGCACTGAACCCTGTATTTACTATGTTTTTTTCCTATACCTGCATACCTGGATAAAGTTTAATTTATAAATCAGGCATTGTAAGAGATAAGCAGCAACCAATAGTAAAATAGAACAATCAGGCCGGGCGTGGTGGCTCATGCCTGTAATCCCAGCACTTTGGGAGGCTGAGGCGGGCGGATCACAAAGTCAGGAGATCGAGACCATCCTGGCCAACATGGTGAAACCCTGTCTCTACTAAAATACAAAAAAATTAACTGGGCATGGTGGCACGTGCCCATAGTCCCAGCTGCTTGGGAGGCTGAGGCGGGGGAATCGCTTGAATCTGGGAGGTGGAGGTTGCAGTGAGCCGAGATCACGCCATTGCACTCCAGCCTGGCAACAGAGCAAGACTGTCTCAAAATAAATAAATACTAAAAATAAAAATAAAATAAAATAAAATAAAATGGGACAATTAGACCGGGCACAGTGGCTCACCCCTGTAATCCCAGCAGGTTGGAAGGCTGAGGCGGATGGATCACCTGAGGTCAGGAGTTCAAGACCAGCCTGGCCAACATGGTGAAACCCCATCTCTTCTAAAAATACAAAAGATTAGCCGGGCGTGGTGGCGGGCGCCTGTAATCCCAGCTACTTGGGAGGCTGAGGCAGGAGAATCACTTGAACCCAGGAGGCAGAGGTTGCAGTAAGCCGGGATCTCTCCATTGCCCTCCAGCCTGGGCAATAAGAGTGAAACTCTGTCTCAAAAAAAAAAAAAAAAAAAAAAAAGAACAATTAGAATCACGTGTGATAATCAAAGTTATGTGAATGTGGTCTCCCCCCCGCCAATCTCTTATTGTACCACACTCATACCTAATTTTGGGCCACAGTGGACCGTGGGTAACTGACACGGCACATAATGAGGGACAACCGTATCTATCCATCCGACAGATGTTCCTTGAGCACCTACTAGATGTTAGGGCCGTGAGTGTAAAGTCCCTGTCCCCCTTGGAATGCAGATTAGAGCAGTGGCAGAGACAATGAGCATGTCAGCAAGACAGTGGCAGGGCATGAAGAGGGCGTGTGGCTGCTGAGGGTGATGAGGTTGGGTGGAGACTTCTCAGAGGAGGTGACCATGATGCTAGAAGCTCAGCCCTTGAAGTGGGAACAGCATATGCAAAGGCCCTGAGGCGGAGTGTCCTGATGTCACTCATTGTGTGTCTAAGGAGCAGCAGGAGCCAGTGAGGTCAGAGCAGAGTGAACCAGGGCAGGGCAGAGGGAGATGGGGTGTCAGGGCGGGGCCCTGCAGCCAAGCAAGGGCTTCAAAGTTTGTGCTCAGAGAGGCCGGGAGCCAGGGCAGGGTTTTGCGCTGGGGAGGGAGGTGGTCTCGCTGATGTTTTTAACTGCCCACTGCTGCTGCAGGGAGGGTGGTTTGGAGGGGCCAGGGCAGACCCAGGAGGCTGATGGGGAGGCTCCTGGTCATCCGGTGGAGGACCTCCAGGTTCAGAGACAGGGAGGGGCTTGCCGAAGACCGCAGAGCCAGTCAGTGCTGGGACTGGAGTTCAAATGCAGGTCTCCCGGCTTTGTTGTCTTGTTTGCTGCTTTTACTGCATGAGAGCCCCTGTTTCCTGACACTCCATTTCTGGGGGAGGAGAGGGGGCTGCATAGGTGGGGTGTGGTGAGTTCTATCAGCATCTCTCCTCTTAGAGAAGGAGAACCTACTGCTGATTCCAGTCATTGCCTGTAAGGTCAGGCTGCATGGTCTGGAAGTTCACCTGGGTGTCTAACCTCAGTTATTCATACTGTGTGCAACTCAAGTCCATTTCATCCTGGGTTGCCTCTTTTCAAGTAGGCACATATTTTCTGAGGCCCCAGGAGTCAGTCAACTGGAGATCCCAGTTCAGGAGATCTGAGCAGGCTTCGGATTTCTCATTGGTATGACAGGTGGGGGCTGGGAGTGACACCGCCCTGAGTTCCTTGAGGCCTGACCTTCCTGGTCCTGGGACTGGGAGGATTGAGAGTGGCGGGGCTGGACACTGCAGGCTGTGTTCTAAGGATGGGTAGGAGTTGGCCTGGGAGGGAGGGAGGACGGCATTCGTGGAGGGGCTCTCAGCAGTGGTGAGGAGAGCAGCCTGGCCAGGTGCGGGAGGGGAGCCCACTCACCCCAGCTGCAGGCTGTGCCCAGAGGCCCTGCCCAAGGCCAGGTTCACAGCCGGCTCTGGATCCCCCCCGTGGCAGGAGTCTTTCTGCCTGACCAGGCCTGAGGGGGCCCAGCCCCACCCTATGTGGTGCAGGCCAGGGCTGGGCTTGGTGTGGGTGTTTTGGAGTTAGGTGATGAACCCTACCTGAGCCCTAACCGTGGCAATGGGCAAGGAGAGAAGTATGGGGCCATCCAGCCAATCTCAGCCCCACGGGAGGGCCTTCTGCTGGCTCCAGACCCAGGCGTTGGCGGAGAAGGAGGGAACATGGGTCAGGGGAGGGAAAGGTGGTCAGAGAAGGGAGGCAGTGACAGTCAGAGGGTGGTGGTTGGGGTGGAGAGGCTGGGATAGCCCAGAGTTTCCTGACAGCCAGGCTTCCGGGAACCTCTGCCTTCTCTAGGCCTGAGGGGAGCTCTCAGGCTGGGCAAGGAGCAGGGTCCTGCAACTGGGGGCCTGGTGGGTTTGGTGCATATGGCCATGTCTGTTGTGATGGGGGCAAATTGGCACCACGGGCTTTGAGCTGTTGCAGGGATAGCACCCAGAGGGAGAAGAACGAGGAACGGGGTGTATACCTGTGTGTGTGGTGGGTTGGGGGTATTACACTCTAGGGTGCACCCCAGCCCCCACGGGCACGGTCCCACCTGCTGCTTTGTCCTTGACTTGGTGTGCACGTGGTTTGAATGTGTCAGCATGCTGGTGATCCTGCTGAACTGCGTGACACTTGGCATGTACCAGCCGTGCGACGACATGGACTGCCTGTCTGACCGCTGCAAGATCCTGCAGGTGAGCCGGCTGCCCCGCCCCACTGCCCGCCCC